CCCGGGCCCCGGGCTGGGCCAGCAGCGCCGCGGTTTGTCCGGGATGCTGCGGCCCCGGGGAACCCCGCCCGAAACGAAAACTCCAAGAGCCGATGGAAGCGGTGTTAAGGAAAGGATGGCATGGCCAGAGAGCCAAGCTACAGCTGAGTAATCCTGGTAAATCCTCCCGAGTGCTGCGATGAGGATGAGGAACGGGGCTGGGTGTGCTCTGTACTGTCATCACTTGGATGTGCTCGGCATCCTCTGCATGAGGCAGAGCTGTCACACAGGCCCTGGGGTGACAGCTGCAGCAGGACAAGTGATGGCACAGCCCAGGGCAGCAGTGACAACAGGCTCCCAGTTGGTGGTCTCTGACTTTACTGGGAACACAAAAATCACTGAGACCTTGGGACAAAGTGCACCATCTTCATCCAGCCTCCAGTTTCAGCAATGCTTTCATTTGTGTATAATTTTCCTAGCTGACAATAACCCACAGTATCTTAAAAGACAGTTTTACAAAGAGAGCTTAGAAAGGGAATCCGTTCTAGTTCTTTTCCACTTGTAGATACCAGATGAAGCATGTCCTCATATCATCACAGAGGTGGGACAGAAGTATGCACTCTTAGCCAGCCATAGTCACACAAGAAACAGCACTGAACAATTTGTGATAAAACTGCCATGCACAGATCTTAGTGGGGCTTGGGATTTTTTTCATGAGGAAAAGCAAACAGAAGACCCATAACAGTGTGTTTGATCTGAGACAGGGCATCTAGAAGGGGTCTCAGGATATGCAGCAACCAGCTTCCTATGTCAACCACATGGTTGTCTTCCAAAGCACTCTACCTCTCCACCCCATTCTCTTCCACACAAGATCTCACCTCTTTCTAAGATACAGTTACAGAACTGATGACTTCTTTTGCTTAAAATATTAATTAAAGCTACAATTAAATATTTATTCCTGGAAATCTTTTCTCCTTTGTTTTGTGTGCCAAAACTGCTTTTTGCCAGGGTGGAGGAGGATGAAGACACTACATAAGCAAGCACTGTTCAGAGCAGTCCCCCCAGTCCCACAGTCTGGGATTCCAGCTGTGCTTTCCTCGAAGGTTCAGCACTCCTGAGTCATCCCTCTTGCTTCCCTCTCTCCCTCTGCTTCCCCGGCAGAAATGCACAGCCCGTGGGAGACCCATGGATACCCCCAGCCTACAGGGGTTTGAGGGTCCTGTGAGTGTATGTGTGCACCCCACCTACCACAGTTAGCAAATGGGATTTTGCCTGCCTCTTTTTGTCAACAACTGCTGGAGACAGGTTCCAGCTTCCCCCAAACTCCAACCTGTCTCCCTCCCCTTCTCCTTTCTCTCGCTACAGCTACTGACGCTCAGTTAATCATTCCCAGCACACCTGCCTACCTTGCTCCTTCTGTCCCTGGGCTGGGAAGGGCAGCAGGACAGCTCTTTCCCAGGATGCAGGATCTTCCCTAAAGCCAGTGCTGCTGGGCTGGGCCAGCAAGGAGCACCTCGCAGCTGGGAGGAGGGCAGGAGGAGGTCCGGAGCTGCAGGACTCGCCTGCCTCTCTCCTCTGCTTACTCAGACACAGCTCTGGGCTGTTGCAGGGACTGAGCACTTCCCTCAACAGTCCTGACAGGGAAAGAAAAAAAAAAAAAAACCCAAAAAACCCCAGAAGGATTTATTGATAGCATAGCATCATTAGACCCCTTTTCATTCATTTAAAGTATTCAAAGTGCAATTACTTACACAACTTGAGTCAAGGAAATGAGTGTGTAGGGGGAAAATGTATCAGGTGATGTGATTCATTAGTAATGGTGGGAGATACACGTCCCTGTGCAGCAGCAAGGATGAGGTGGCTTGAACAGCTCTTAAATAATTAGATGGGTGCTGCTTGTCAACATAGGGCAAATACTGCCCACCTCTATTAAAAAGGCATGAATTGGTCTAGGATTGCTTCACCCATGACAAAGGCAATCCTGATTTCCAGTTCCTGACTGGGCTTCAGAACTATTTAATCTAAAAGCTATGGTTGGCACAAGCACAGAGAGTGTAGGCTGGATATGAATGAACCGTGCCTGGAAATTAGGAACAGGCTCTTAAAGATTAGAGCAATAAGATTGTAATAGAGAATAATAGGAGGAAAAATACCCTTAACTCCTTGAATATGTGGTACATTAAGTATGCTTCAGTCCAGAGTACTCTACTGCACTTCATCTTCTCATGTCCAGTCCCAATGTTGGCAGGAACCCACCAGTGTGCCAGCCCCAAAGATCTGCTTTTCACTTAAGGCTGTTTACTATATAATGGGATACACTCATTCTATTTTACCAGATCAATTTTTTCCTACCAGGCATCTGACAAGTTATTGTGTGCTCTCACTATCTTAATCATCTGTAATTTTGAATCATGCTTCAGATGAGCTCTGTTTGCAAAGCGTAGGAACTGAGGACGTCTTTGCTGCTCTCAGATAAATCATAGCAGCAAAACCCAGGGAAAAAAATGCTCATAAAGAAATGAATCTTCCTCTGTGGTTAGGGTTAAAATTCAATTCATGTTAGCTAAAAGTACAAATAACCTTGCAAATTGTTTACAGAGATTTGAAACAATAAAAACAAAGCCCCAAATTGCCATATAGTCATCAATAACACAGTGTACTAAAAGTAGCACTAACACAACCTTCTCAACAAGAATTTAACAAACATCTTTCCACCTTTCCCTCAGGGGAGGATTTAGCCCCCAAACTTAGTTATCAAACCCAGAGCACTCTTAATTGCAGGGTGAGAAATTAGTTCCTGAGCCCCAGAGCCAAGCTTGGGACACAATGTCATGGACATGAAGTAGGTCAGCTCCAAGTTGTAATCACCTCCCATTTTGTCATCGTGGAAGGTGTAGCACAACCCCACCAAACAGGTATTGCTGAATTCCTAATCTGGCCAGCTGGCTATTTCATTTGTCTAGTGAAACAGAGCTGGCATGAGCTCACCTTGAGCAGGGCTATCTTCTTATGTTCCTTTTTCCTTTTCTTACACTAAAACAGTTCCAGGCTTTTTATTAGGAAACAAAGGACCCCATACCAGTGCAGAAATCATTTGTGAGCAGCTTGGCAGGAGGCACAATCCATCCAGTTGCTGCAGATTATTTTTTCTCTTTGCTAGCTTTTTTTTCAGGTCCCACTCCTTCTAAAGAAGAATTATGTTTATCATGAGCAGGGGAATCTTTTGATGCATGGAATTAGTCAGAAGCTACACAGCTACCAAGGATTTTAAGGTCAGTTAGGCTGTCTCTCTTGGTCCTGACACAGTCACCAAATATTCAGCTCTGAAACCTGATTTTTCTGATCGTTTGGTTTCACAGTCAAAAGGATAAATTTTTTACTTCAGGGAAAATAACATCTATGGATTGTACTGAAGTAGAAACACAGAAAAGTTGAGCTTTTCAGCAAGGTAAGCTCCAGGGAAATTGGGGTGTTTTAAGACTGCATTTCTTGTCTTTTTGGTGGTTTTATTTCACATGCAATAGGCTTCTTTAAAATAACCCAAACCCATTCTAGTAGAAAAACAAGGCCTTGAAGAAGAACTGTTTCTCCATAATTTGCTTTTTATTTTATTAATATTGACTGCCTGTCAGAAATACAATACTGTCTCCTGCTCCCTGCTCTTCAGCTGCCATCTTCCAGCGTTCCTCCTGCCGTTTGCATTTACTCTCAGTTGTAGTCTCAGAAGAGTTGCCTCGCTGGTCTCTCTGCTTGCCCTGTGGACTGACATCCCAGAGCCTCTGCCCTTCCTGAGAGCTTCTCCTGTGCTTCCAGCCATCTCTGGCAAGCTCAGCATAGCACCCACCATCAGACCTGTTTGCTATGAGCTCCTCAGATGCCAAGCAGCTGCTTTCCATTCTTCAGGGAGATCCACAGGGTTTGCATTATGCATGTGGAGGCTCAGGCCAGGAGCTGATAGGCAGAGGGCATTAACATTTGAACACAAGATGCAGCATCACAGCTGAAGTTTCCTTTCCAGGTGCAGAGTGTTACCAAGGGTTCATCTAGGAGTGTAGCACAAGGCACAAAGCAAGCACTGAGCAGTGGGGAACCTTCTGAGCACACACACTGTTCCTCACCTGTGCGCTGCACTGAGTCAGGCAGCTGCTCTTTGGAACACAAAATATAAAAGCAGCTGCTCAACAAACATATTGCTGTGGCCTTCACACAAGTTTCTAGCTTTGAACTGGAGAAAAGATCAACCTGACTCATATTTTACTGGTTCTGACAGATGTGGTGGTGTGAAGATGGCAGCAAGTCAGACTGCTGAGCCACTCTTGGGCAGAAGTGCACACAGATGTGTTGTGTTGTCTGCAGTCATTTAAATACATTTGTTTTAGCACACACTGGATGATAATATTCATAATTCACAATGATGAAGAATGATGATAATGATCACATAATTTGTAATGATGACATGATGATAGCTAATTGTAACCAAAAAAATTAAATAAAATGGCAGCTATGCTCAGTTCAAATGAACACAAGAAAATCTTTATGGTGAGAAAGAGCCTACAAAATAAAACTCTCCCACACCTGGCTTGGGTCGTTGTTGTGACCTTGAGAGATGGGAACTGCCTGTGGGGAGCCACCAGCACAGAGCATGTAACAGCACCCCTGGAACCTGTGTCAGCTGAGCTGCCAGCAGCTCCAAAGGCTGGACATTTCCATGTCTCTTCCTCCCTTACTACCTGTCCATCCTCAGATTAGGCACTGTTCTCCTCTTCTCCCAGTCTGTCTATTCTGTTTAGATCCCAAATTGCACACAGAGGTCACGTCTGTGCTTAAACTCTGCATCCTGCAGAGAGCTGTGTTCATTATCAATTGATACCCTGTCCTAGCTGTGATTAAACTGACACAAGTAGCTTTTCCTCCCTTTTGGTGAAAGACTGGCTCTTATTAGCAATAGGAATTGACTGGACAAATAGATTCTTCCCAAACACTTGTCAATTCAACACACTGCACAGAAAGAAAAAATTAGCAACAACTGGAATTTTTTTCCTTGAAAAAAGGCTTAGATAAAAATTCCCATGGTGCTGGAGCTATTAAGTGAATGAAAACAGAGATGAAAAATAATACAATGGAGAGAGAGCAGTACCAGGAGGCTCCAATGTCCCAGCATCCAGAAGATTCTGTGCTCTCCTGTTTTCAGAAGTTTGGAGCAGAAACCGCAGTCACAGTCCATGTAAGAAGATGCTACTTCCTGTGTTAGTGATCAATGTGATATATGGGTTAGAATATTTGTGTTTGTTTAATTTTGGGCACAATCCAATCAGCATTTTCACTCCCACACCAGGGCAGGAGAAATGCATTCTCCCAGCTACATTTCTTAATGTATGGTCACTTGCTTCAATCTGCAGGACACAATTAAAGGCACAGTCTCTGTCCTCTTTTTCCCTTAAAAAACTCTGGATATTCAATCTCATGTACACATTACCTCAAGCCTTCTGAAAACTGACAACAGCAAGTTAGATCTGGCAAAACAAGGGTGTTTGCACAGGCTGGCAAGCCTGCCACTCTTGAAAGCCTAGCAGGTTTAAATATTTAATGATCAGACATAGCATTCATTGTCCTAATCAATTCTTTTTTTAGATAGGAGTCTGTAGAGTCTCAGAAAGTGCAATCAGGCTGTGCTGGAGACCTGAGGAGGCTTCTCACACCAAACAGTCAATGGCTGCATTTGGTAGGAAAAGGGTAGGGGAGGCAGAGTTCCCTGCCCTGTTCCATTAGAGGCACACTGAAGGCACAAAAGGGGCAGATTGCCTTGAGATAAATTGGCTTTTACAAAGCCTTTTCTTTACATCCTTCATGTTGGTGGCATTTTTTTTTTTCTTAGAATTAAATGAAATGGAAGCTTTTACAATGTTGAAATAAGGAAAACTCTTTCTTGGAAGGCTGTGGACAGACATAAGCCCCTCACATGCAGAGGAGCTGTGCAGTGGGTGTGTGTGAACACCAGCATGGGTTGGGTTCTGCCAGGCAGTGGGGCACACCATGTGTTTTAGAACCCCATGGAGCACATGTGGGGCTGATGGAATGTAAGAAATAAAACTTACAAATAGTCAGAAAAGAGTGTCTGAAGACATCTTTTGAAAAGAACTGAGGTACTTTCAGCCAAATGCTCCTCCTTCTCTGATTTGGGTTCCCAACCCTCCCTCCCTTCAGGAGCCAGATATTTACCCCATTCCTTTCTGCAGAACAATAGCCAGAGGGGGATTGGTGCTTTTCCCCTTTTTGAGTGTCCTGACCCATCCCAATGAATGTGGAAACCTCCTCAAGGGCAGTTCCTAGGGAAGAGAAGACTTCTCCAGAGTCTCTCAGCTGGTCTCTGTTGGCCCAAATGTACAAGTTATCTCATGGGGGAGGCTTGAGTGCTGGATTCTTCCCATCCAGAAGATTCCTCTCACCAGTAGATCATCCTGTAGTTCACTCACCATTGGATTAATAAACTTTGGACTCTTCTTAGCAAAAAGAGCAGCATTGACTGAGAGCTTCAGGACTGAGGACCACATAGGTCCCCAAGAGATACACATTCCAGGGGTAGACTCAGATCAATTCAGACAGAAGACCAGACTAAACCCCACTCCCTCCATAACTTTGGTGAAGTGCTGAGGTTTATGACATCTTGCATTGCAGAGAATCGTTCCTAGGAAATGATTTTGCCCTAACTGAAGCAAATGAAGCAAACTGAGTAGTGCTCATTCCCCTGGGATTTCTCTTCCAGCCCCATGGACTGAAGCTGAACTCTGAAAATCCATTAGCACAGCCTTCCCCTGGGCCCAGGGTTTCACACCCTGCATTTGATGCACCATGAATACTCATGTCTAAATAACAGAGATCAAAACTGGTTGTAAAGAGGTTTAGTGAGAATTCTGGTTTGCAGGAAGAGGGGAATGACATATGCAAGGATAAAAAACCTCTCCTTACAGAGCAGCAGGATTGATCTGGCTTGTTAAACCCACCCAATAAACAGTGCTGCTGTTGTTTTTTAACTGCAGCTTGTCCTTATGAAGGCAGTTTGTTTATGCTTTCCACAATGTTCACAGGTTCTTTTTATGGCACTTGATACTTCTCTGCTGCACAACTGAATAGAGATTAGGAAAAAATGTAGCTGTGCTTTATTTCAAAGGGCTGTACAATAATGACAATTGTGCAGTCCTTTGGGTTAAGTCCAGGACAGCCACAACTGATGGCATCTTGCAAACAGATCAATAGGATGAGCTGATAAAGGTAAATATGTTTAAATTGTATTATTGCATTATTTAATTGTATTGGGGTGGAAAATGCACGGGAATATTTTCACTCATTCTCTTGCAGAACTGCACACTTCTCCATTTAAACTGCTGCTGCATTCCATCTCAGAGAAAATCCCTCCAAACATACAAAGGGGGTCCCAATACAACAAACCATTTAATCCTAGTATTTAGTTGAATGCAGAGGAACTGCATGGAGTGGGTAGAGACGTTGCTCACTCTGTGTTTTGTATTGACAGGAACACTCACGTGGTACAGGCAAACATAAACAATCCTTGATGCAAGGAATTCAATGTACTTCTGCCAGTCTGTATGCAAGATAAGACCAAGCACTGACAAAGAACCTGACAATTAAAAAAATTAACTGAAATTGTTCACCTAATTTTAAATCTTCATCAGGAGCTCAAATATCAGAAAAAAATATTGGGTGGGGTGGGGAAAGGGCAGGAGAATAAGGAGGATGAAACCAGGAGAGCTCACAACATCTGCCTCTTTTAGTTTTAGCTTTTCTTTCTTTTCAGCTGAGGGCATGGAGAAATTGCTCATGAATATTCCCTCTGCAGGGACAGGCTGGGATCCTTTGGCAGTGGGAACTGGCCATGCAGGGCAAGCATCACAGCATTTTATTTTCTTTTAACTCTTTAAATTGACAGTTCCAGGTGTTTGATTTCATTAGTTATTTCAGCAGAGTCAACCACTGGCTCTATATTTTTGAAAAAAACAAAACAAAACAAAAACAACTAAAGAATTCAATGCAGTCCACCAATTTCTTTTTGTTTTCAGAAAATTTTAAAAAAATTAATTCCTCTTTGTATGGTAAATGCAAGGATAGAAGGATTTTGTGTTTGTATCACACTATGAAATGGGGAAAGATTGGAAACAGGTGTTTGCACAAAGATGGCAGCTTAAAGTGGTTGTCCTTTCTCCTTATGATGAGCTTCAGTGGTGCAGAAGTGTCACATCCTCATTGGTATTTTAGGGAATATTGAAAGTTATTTTATGTCAACACCATGGCAGCTGACAAGGACAAAGCCAAAATAAGAGTTTCCTGATCAGGGAATTTTCTATACCTACTCTCCTTCCAACAGCCATATTTCCTCAAGATGAAATAAGTCATTGGAAAATATTAAAATTCCCAGAGACATCATTTAAATGAAATAATATTTTTAAAAAGAACTCAGTATAACACTTCCTACTAGTTCATCAGGCCAGTTTGCACCTCATCCTTCTCCAGATTTGCAACTGCATAGTTCTGTGTGTGTGTGTGTGTGTGTGTTTAATTCCTTTCTGCTGATCTCTGGTTATCTTCTGACCCTGGAAAAGATTTCACAGGAGAAAGTCGTTCCTGTACAGTGATGTTGAACACAACAACCCCAACACATGCTCAGTTTTGTGTGTGTTAGTGCAGACAGCTTTGGGAGGTGTCTCACATCCTTAAGCCTGGGGAAAACAAAGAATACACGAGGCAGAAGCACTTAACAGCTCTGATTCTTTCAGAATGACAATGAATTCAGTATTTGGTAAAATTAAACATTCAGATGATCCCATGACTACCCCCAGTTCCTGCTGAAGTAAAGAGGAGTGAGTAGGAATAAACAGGAATCAATATTCCAGATCATAAACGCTGAAGAAAGAAGTGGGCTCCTGTTCTTTAGGGTTTCTCCAGGTATGAGCTGCATCCAGGTGACAACAGCATTGCAGCACTGCTCTTTGTTTCTTTTTACACTTTTCTCCTGCAACTTTATGCTTTTCCATTAATCCTCCACCTGCAGTCTCAAATTCCAGACTGATGGACTAGAATTTGCTGTATAAAGGATGATTTTATTAATTATATAGATTTTTGTGGTGCAATACTTAACCTAGACACATAAATGTGTCAGTGGGCATGAGAGGAATAAAATCTCCAGGATGACTTGGAAAGAAGTGCTGAAGTGCTTACTAAATTAATTCTGTGAGCAATGAGGTGATTCCCCATTCTGATGTTAAATGTGCTGCAACTCCATCAATGCTATCACTCCACAGCCTCTGGCAATACCCACCTCAGTAATAGGCTTAGACAGTTGTTGTTATTATTATTATTATTATTATTATTATTATTATTATTATTATTATTATTATTATTATTATTACTATTCTTCTTATTATTATTATTGTTGTTGTTGTTGTTGTTGATGATGATGATGTTATTGTTATTGTTGTTATTGTTGTTATTGTTGTTATTGTTGTTATTGTTGTTATTTTGTAAATGTCTTAAATGTTGCATCATGGCAGAGATGCTTTATGCCAA